GGAGACAGGAAAGCAAACGGTGATAAAAAATCTCGTACACGGTTCGAAAGGGGATACAGTGTCGGGTGTTGATCTAATTAAAATTACAGGCTGCCTATTAGCCCCGCGAGTCGTGGAGCAGCGTCGATACCGGTAACAACGCAACAACCGTCGGCCACGAGCGGCGGTGGTTAACTTATGGTGGCGTGCAACGGAGAGAAACGCCAGGCAACCGGAGTTGGTACTGGCTAACGAAGCGGATTTAGTAATTGTTTTGTTGCATATCGCCCGCAGTGCGCAGCCCTGCTCGACGCGCCATTACTGGTTCTACATTGTAAAACACTTCTCATTGATAGCACGAGCCTCTTTGAGCTGGCTTGCGATGACGCTCGATGTTACATTCTCTGCTCCCTGGTACACCGTTGTACGCAGATAGAGCCGGGTCTTCTCGTTTTTTCCCTGTTAGACCGGCGATTCTATTGACGTTCTAATGGATTTTATAGTCGGACTAATTTTAACCCTCGGACGGCGGACCATGGAGAAAAGCCAAATTAATTCTTTAAAAATTATTCTCTTGAAAAATGAAAATTTTTAGCCAGCCTCCGCTGTTGAAGGGTTAACGTCGACGAACAAGCTAATGTTGACAAATGAGCTTGCAATTAGACATTCAACCGAGGGATCGGATTAAATCGATAGATCGTGGCAGAATCAGAGCATTCCCTGGCGAATATTAGAAAGTTATTGTGTCTTTATCTTTGACGATCGATCAATGCTGGTTGTATGTGTGTAACATTCGTATGCATGTTGCGCAGACTCGTTCGAGTCGAACGGTGCCGCGGCGCGGCGGCCGCGCGCCACAGAGCTATCGACATTCCCGATTGGACAAAAATCGAAGCCGGGCCCCGTGACTCAGAACTGGAAGCACTTTACGAGACGGTTAGGCCGGCGTCACGTTTCGCGAATAAGGAGCAATAAATTACGCGGTATCGGTAATCGGCGGCCCGCACAAAACCCCATACGCGGCCTGTTTCTCCCCCCATCTGACTGGCGATTTTCTTCCCATGTCCACGTGTGCTCGCCGCGCCGCTGCCGTCCGTGATTTCGCGCCAATCAACCTGAAACCCCGCCATTCTATGGAAATAAATCCTGCCGGGCCAAGTTCGCACGCGGAAACACTCGCGCTGTTCACCCTGATATACGGTACGTGCCTTTAACGGATAAATTAGAGCATTGGGTAATTAAAATTCGAAGAATTCGTTGAATTTGAGAAATTAGTCTACTGAAAAATTACATTTTTGCATTTGCTTCATTGCTATACTAGAACGGCGATATATCTAGAGGACGTCGATGGGAGAGGAATAGGGAACACGCGAGTGGCAACCGGCATGCGAAATCCCACTCTGTAGGAGTAGTAGCATCGCGAGAGAGACGGTAGACGATCGGTAGGCATTGCTATTTGTCGAGATAGTATCTGGATGGGTGTAGCGAGTTATTACAGTCAGAAGAGCGGTCTCTGGCCGTCGATGGAAGACCCTGAACCCCGCGGAACCTCTTTCCTCTTCGTTGCTCCGCTCCTTTTCAGCTTCCCTTGTCTCTGTACCTTTGTCCTGTACGCGAGAAGCAGGAAACCGGAGAGTCCGTTATCGATGCTGAAACCTCGACGAAATCCGTCCGGTGGCTATCGATTTTCGATTGCACGCACACGATTCTCCGCACCTTCAAGTCCCTGCAACGTTTCGCCAACTTTGTCCGCAACTGGTCTGCATGAATTTTTCAACATGACATAAAAGGTGACATCACTTCCCGTTTCTCAAATTATTAACGAGAAGATCTGTTATTTTTTTTCGTCTCGCGTCTCGGCGCGGACGTCAGGAACGATTCAGCTGCGGAGTCGCGTTGAATTATACGTCGCATCGTCCAGACGCACAAATCTCGAGCGCCACGGAAACCTTCCGCTCTCGAGGCGAGTAATTTTAACCAAGTAACCGGTAATTACCGTGAAATTAATCATTTCTCTGCCTCGTTACACCGAGCCATCCGACAACGTCACTAAATCAAGCCTGTTGCCTTGTATTCCCTCAAGTTTTCAGAGACAGGAATTACGAGAACAGGCGAAGCCGGACACGAGGTGTCGATGAGAATTAAAATTCTCTTTTTCTTCGCGATTGAATTATGAATTTTTGAAAATCCCTCGCTATACCTTCAGAAGGTCAATTAAATTTTGTTGGCGTGAAAATCAAACAGAAGCATTTCTGTTTTATGACAATGTTTCCGATGACGCTACCAGTTAATAAATCAGTATAAACACGCTTTCCACACACGACGTTCGCTATCAAACGTTTCTCACTTCGACATCCACTCGTCGTCGTCTCGATCGGAGCGACGTTTATCGATAACGCGTGCTCGAGGATCGAGAAACTGGCCACTTTACCTGCAGGCCTCGCACAATGGAGCACCACGATATACGAACATTACGATACAATGTTATTGTCTATATTACCATTTGCACGCAATACTAAATTACTGGTTTCGATGCCGATCGATGGTCACCGTGGCGCCAACCGGAGACTTCGATGCCCGCTGCCCACACGTGGCTGCGTAAACGCACAGGCGCCATTTCCGTGGCAGCTTTCAAACCGCGATAACTTACAAAATACTACCTTTTATTTCCCTCCGATCGACCGTTCAGATTGCAACGGTTCGAGAACGTAGCCTCGAAACGCCAAGAATTTCTTTCTGTATTTCAAGTTGAAAATGATTCAACGCGATCAATGCAACCCTTTCCCTCGCCGCTGAAATAAATACGAGGGAAACCGTAAACTTGACCAAGTGGGTAGCACAAAGTTGCGGACAAGAGTGGGCAGCTCAAGTATCAGACGAGTGGGTGCGATTCATCACGGAGCTGGAAACACGGTTAACGCGTTATAAGTCTCTCTTCGCGATGACATTCATCACTGCGAGCCACTCTGTCTCTTCATTTTTCCCTTCACCCCCTCTGCGCTTCGTTATTTATGCGAGCGACGTTGGTGAATAATCGCACCAACGATCGTTCTATGATTTTTAACACCGATCGAGCAGGTGTTCGGTCCACTATCGATCGGTCGTCGTGGGAGTGCTCGATGGTGAAGATTTTCACAGAGGCCGGGGATGTTCGAGGATCTGCGAACGGTATTGTTCATCACGAATGACCTTTCCCATAAATGTATCACGAATCTCCTCGAGAAGTATGTTTCCCACAGGTGAGCCTGTGAATTGTCCTTGTGATTCTCTTCCCCCCTTGATGGTCCAAAAACGTGTGTTCACCCTCTAGTGCACCCTTGTCGAATTCTGTGTATACCAGGGTTGTTTGACAAATGGAAAATTCGAAGTTTCATCGTATTGGATAGCGTCTAGGAAACTTCGTCCGAGAAATATGAAATTGCACCATCGATCGGTGTAATTTTTCCGGTGTAATGAAACACGTGTAATTTCCCCGGTCCTCATAGCTGCGTGATGGAGCAATTTGCGCGCAGGTTGTGCCCGTAACGACGCGATCAGATACGAAACTCCACGATACCGTGTCATTACATTTTATTACGAGCCTCGACGTAATAAATAACACGGATTTTATTGAATTCAGAACAATATAATTACGAGGCGATTGAACGCGCAGCTGGAACGTGTATTTAGCGGGTTTAAGCGCGTTTCGAAATCCACCGCGACGACGGACGCGGGAACGCGCGTATTGTCTTCGGAGATTTATTCAGCGGAAGGGTAAATTGAATGCGGTTTAACGATGAATAGAGTAGCTTTGAAAGGGACATTTTGCGAATATGATTCAAACATTCCAGGATTCTAAGCACCTACTTCGTGAAATTTGAAATTAGTCGTCTCGCTCGAAAGGCAATAGTAACGTTTCGAATTCGTTCTTTTAAATATATGGTTACTGCAACTAACGAGGAGGATCCTCTCTAATCTTCGTCGGTAACTGCAAGCAGCAGGATAGACAATCCCCGGTCTCGTCTCATGGCGCTCGTTCGATCGGCGCTGATTTGCAGACAATAGTTTCGAAAAAGGGGAATGGTTAGTCTCGTGCCAGGACAATGGACACGTGAGTATCGCGTGTTGCGGATGACAGTTGACTCCGCGTGACACGTGACAGGACAAACGAGGATCGAGGCTCCGTGAACGCAAATTATATCGGCGAAAATGTCAGGAACAGCGATGCTCGGATCCTTAGCAATATATTCAAGACAATAGCGACACTTGGTTTCACCGAGGAATAGAGGTGTGCGAGAACCCGAAAATATCGGGTCGGGTAGAGTCTGGTAAGATTGAATACCCGAAATTTTCAAGAAATGTCACCCGAGTGCTCGAAAATTTCGAATTCCATCATCGAATTGCCAATAAATATCATTAAGACCCCCGTGTACGTCGAAGGATGCCGTTTGCATCGGTTACTTGTAGCATAGATCGTATCTATCGTTCGCGACGAGCGTGACTTTCGAATTTTCCCGTAAATAGTCTAATTTGATTTACGACACCGTAAAGATCCGCGAGATCGTTACTATAAATTATCGGCAAGCAAACGGCGGCGCCGTAACGGTTTGCTCGTTTTCCGATGAAAAGGATCGCGCGTTTGATCCTCGAACGACTCGAAAAACAGTACACCTTATCGAAAGGAATCGTTGAACGACCGAAGAGTTGCCGATGTTGTTGCTGAGACGTCTTTACGTCTTGTCTAGCCGTTGTAACACGTTGGCCTGTTCTGGCCTCGCGTTTTTAATTAATACGGCTTCATTAGCGCCGCGATATACGCTGACAGTAGCTCTGTACTGTTATCCGGTAACAGATTGCACCCACTTAATGGTATCTCAGCAAGATTTCTCGATCGATTATTGATTTTCTACGATAGAATAGTCATCTTTAATTTGTCTAAATAAACTGCACTGATAAATGAATTTGCTAGGCCTAATTTTTTTTCTGGTTGATTACGGGTTAGAGAATTTTTAGAGATATCAAGGTTAATTCTTTATTTCTAAACACATACACATACATTTATTTATTATATAGATCGATCGTATATATATACATATAACAGTTCGTGAGATACACTTAAATTAATCTTCTTATATAGAAGTTAGATTTCTTCTTTGAACATACCACGTATATTTACTATGAAAATGATTTGACGAAAGACACGATATGTTTTTATTCATTACAAATATTTTCGTTAAGAACATGAAATGATTTTATGAACTAACATCTTGTTCAGTACTAGTTACTTCAGTATTAGTTACTTGAGTACTAGTTACTTCAATACTAGTTACTTCAGTACTAGTACTTGTTTCGTAATCAAATATGTTTTGAGGGGGGCACAAACGAGGATATTTAGGTCTCTCACCTTCTTGCACTTCTCTGGTCGTATAACACCACGGTACATTCTCTTCTTGATCGCAGGCACCAAGTACATCATTGAACTTGTGCCTATCATAACATCTACAGAGTTCTTTTTCTCCATAGTAGCACATGTAATAGTGGTTGCAATCGGTTTCGTGACGCAGTTTCCTTATACCTTGGGCTGGGCAGCCTGGTGATGGTCCTGGTGGATATACAGGTGGTTGTGTTGGTGGATATACAGGTGGTTGTGTTGGTGGATATACAGGTGGTTGTGTTGGTGGATATACAGGTGGTTGTGTTGGTGGTGTTGGTTGTGGTGGTCGTGTTTCACCAGAACAAATGACATGCGGTACGTTATCTTCCCAATCGCAAACTTGTTCTTCCGGATTGAAGACCAAATGACCTTTTGGTGTATTTGGACATTCTTTCACGAATCCTCTTCCACCGAGACACTTGTAAAATTTGTGACAGTCCCATTCGTGCGGAAGATGATGAGTGTAGGTGCTATTATTTTTTCTTCTGCATGCGTCGAGCGGTATGCCTTCATTGGTTAAAACGGTCGTCGTCACCAGCACGACCACGACAAGAAATAAAAATAAATCTGAAATTATGAAGAAAAATATTGAGAATGACATGTACAATTTCTGATTCTCGTAACACTGTTATTAAATTTATCGATCATTTACTATGTATTATATACGAGGAATCCGAAATTTTAATGTAACTTACCCTGCATGGTGAATAACGAGTAATTAATGCTTCAAACAATTTAGGCGAACATTATTCGAACGTGTCGAACAGTTACTAACAAGTACGTATTACGAGGGCCGACTTTTATATGCATTTTGGATCTTATCATCGGCTTCATATCTATCTTATCGCGCTCTACATTCACGTAAAGTCCAATTTATAATTGATCATCGAAATATTTACTTGCCTAAGCCATCTTACTTCTATTTTATTTCGTTTCACTTTATCATTCATGCTTTCTGATCGAATTTGTAATATTCTTATAAACGATTATTGAATTGAAAAATTCAACCAAGTAAGATAGAGATGAATATGCAATTCGTTTTTAAAAAGGTAAATTTAAAACTGAGTATTTGATTTGTTTTAATTAACAGGCAAGAATCTATTTTTTTCAAACCATAGAAATAATTGAAGGAACTTTAATCGATTGATAAAATTAATCTCCCCTTATCGTTGTAGAATGTGGAGACTTTATTAAATTCGTCTATGCCCCACAATAAAATAGGTTATATTTTCCTATACTTTCGTAATCGTTTCGAAATATTCCATATATCGTGTTTAAAAGTTTTCTCGACAGTAAAACAGTAATTTATTTGTTGTTAAATATAAGATTTAACCACGTGCATTGACAGAGGTTGCAGTTAGTTTGGTCGTAACCCTCACATAGAAACTGGCATCGACACTGGACAGCCACTAACGAGCTGAATTAATTTATGCTCATTGAATTCTGTTCTGGCAGAACTGCTTTTCGAGAAGTCATAATAAGAACACCGCGGGGCATTTCGATTATTTAGTGTCCGCTTCGATTTCCCTTCCTCTCCCTCCATTTCTCTCGTTCTTGTATGCAAATCGTGGGTGGAGGAAGAAAGATATCGTTCCATACCGGATATCCTCGAGGTCGTTTCGAAAAGTTATCTTAGGAATCATGCTTACCGCGTGATAAGATGAGAGGAGTAGTTTTGGTGATAAAAAGAGATTTCATAATATCAATATCTAACGTAGTAACGTTTAGTCATCACTTGTCGTTTCTTGTCGTAATAAATAACCTATTTGTTATGATAAGAATTCCATGAATTCCTTTATCTATCAATGAATTTCTGGGATGCTTCAAAAAAAAAAAAAAAATCGCAAAGGAAATCTCAGAAATTTAAAAAATAGATCCATCCATCTATCCAATAAAGGGACCAAAATTTCGAATCATCGTTTTCTCAATGACAGAGGCACTTAATAAAAACACGTGTCAATTCGATTCGTGTCAAGGATCAAGTTGAAGCATCGAGGCCATCGGGACACTACGGTTCCCACAGGTCCGTTCGCATAAATCGTTGTTCATGGAACGACTAGCATATTGCCGGTGTTGACAAAGCCTATAGGGGGTCCGTCAGGCCCGTATCATCCCCATGCTAAAGAGCAACAGAGCGCCCACCGGCAGCAGCATCATCGGTGCATCCCCATCGTCCACCTTCGCGAAGGGTGGGAAACCGTGACCACCATCTCATTACCGGTTCCCATGGGTACGCGTGCAACCATGGGGTTGCGTGTGCCACAGGTCCTCGATGCTCCAGGGTGCATCGAATTATGTAATTGTGAGATGGGGTGGAGTGAAGTTGGCAGAACGCTTCCTGATCTCGCGTGTGAACGATTTTTACTGGTTTCTTATTTCAAGGGAGCATGGTAATTGGAATTCACTGAAAAACGCTGTAACGAGGAACATTCGCTATTGAAATATAAGTCTGATTGATTATTATGGCATTGAAGTCATCGATGATGGTGAAGCTCGATTAGTCATTGGATAATTGGTATTTATCTAAAATTTTAATTAAGCAAAATTAACCCTCAAAAATGAACATCTTGACTCTCGCGATGACGTCATTCTATGCGGGTTTATGGCCCTGTACTCAATAAGAGTGTATTGCGCGATGAACATATCAACCATTGTATTTCTTAAAAAAGAAGAAAGGTAAATACACTATTTTTATATAGATCGGGGTTATTGGCTTGCGCTATCTGTTCCAAGGTGATTCGATTAAAACTCCGAAAGAAACGACTTTTTATCTGAACGGCTTGCAAGTGGGTTCACGATTCATAATTCGTTCCAACCTCGTCGTTGCTTCACGATACTCGAGAATTGATCCACGACTGACTTTACAGCCTCGATGTGTCAAGTTGTTGTCGACCTAGCTCGAGATTCGACACGGCAATCGCAGTGATCGTGGGAAGTGCTGGTAACGTGAATTTAATCTTTCTGAACCGTATTATTCGTAATTTATATTCGGATTAGAAAATTCTTCTTTGATCACCAAAAATGAGATCAGATAAACAATCTCATCCTTCGCGCAAGCGTGTCAAATCCTATGCGTATATCTATCGAGGGTGTTTCGTTCAGCTCCTAGTTTCGGCACGGGTGTGCCGTTGCCTTATCTTTGTCCCATTGTTTGTTGATAGAGCATAGGTTAGCAGGAACCGCGTGCACGTCGGCACGTGGCCAGAAGTGGCTGGATTCGTATAATTCAATTCCGACCACGTATCGAAACAAACGAGAGCCAAAGAATCGGAGATCCCTCTGAGAACCATATTTCGGCGGCATTGTTCGCCTTTATCGCGCCGGAACGTGGATGGCATGGAGAAGAATCGCGGAAACGGTCCGCGCATCCGGTATCGCCGCTGCACGTGCACCCAAGGGTGCATCCGGCCATTTTCGCGGATTGAGATCGTTCTGGATCAACGACCAAAAGAAAGTGATTCAGAGAGATTTATAACGGATCTGTGCTTTCTTTGGAGGGATAAATGTATCAACTTTGATACATTTAGAAGTTTCTTAAGTTGTATCGAATCTAAATGAATTACCCAGCTGGTTCATTTACAAGCACTCTATTCCCTCTTTGAAATTAAGTTCGAAACCGATTCCCTTCGAGCGTAGGAGGGTAAAAAACAGGTACGTTTGACTCATCTATTGCACGTTCTCGCACGATGTGCACACAACGCGATATCCCTCGACATCGGCCGCAAGCTATTTGAGGAAGAGCCGCCAACAACGAGATACAAGCATCGTCTCCCTCGTAACACGAGCTATCTGCCGGCTAATAAAGTTTGACAGTCGGTCAAACCACCACGCCACTCGGACCCCATGGGAACACGGTGTATACCTTTCCCACACGCGACTACGTGGATTCCCGGGCTCATTATTGCTTTTAAGGTCGGCGCACAATGAGCGCGACAGGGCGCATATGCCGCGCGACACCGGGCTCTCTGCAAACTGCCCCTGAAATCGAATCCAAAGCGGGCCCTTGGGGAGCCCTTTTAATTTCGAGGCTGCCCGTTACATCGATAACGACCCACGTGGCCCCCGTGGACTCAGAAAAAATGATGTTACCACGTGGTATAATCGAAGTTTTTCCTTATTGCGGCTGGCAATTCGATATTCTGTTGAATTAGCCTTTGCTTCCCTCTGGAGAACCATGTGTGGTATTTGGATGTCAAGACGAGCTAATTGAAGCGGAATTATAGATTTATTTAGGAGGACTAATAGTAAATTTAAAAATTTTAAAATTGTGGAATTTTAGAATTTTAGAATAATAAGGGGACCAGTTCCTTTCCCACTTAAATCACTCTCTTTGCAAAGCAAGGATAAGCAAAAGACTAATCAAGCTTCAGACTAATTGAAGCAATTCGATCAGCTGAATCAATCGATTCGGTAATTCCTCTGCTAGAGAAATTGACTTAGCGTTCGGTAAATGACGCGAGATAAATCCTCGTAGGAAAAGGGCGCGGCGTATCGTGGAACGGGCACTTAGTTCAATCGTCTAGAAATCCTCTATGACGCACATCCGCCGGTGAATCAGATGCGCCTCTCGTACGAATTCGTGCGAGTTTCGAGGGCGACGAAGAATCAAGGAAACAAGAGAAAGAGAGAGGAAGAAGAGAGTCTACCACTCGTATCAATCGGAAGCTGGTTGTTCTGTGTACACCCTTGGCTTTCCCTTTCCCTTCGCTCGTCCGGGCCGCAGGGTGTGCTGATAGATTAACTGCGATTCACTTTGCAACTCGCACGTACGTTCACACGCCGGAAGTCGATACTGTGAGGTCGTTTCATTCAATTCCTTTGATGCGGCCGACCTTTCTCAGTAGCCACCCACTGGGAGGCTTAATAAACGTTTTGTTACATACCTTTTGTGCGATACGTGTGTCACTCTCGGCTATAAATTATCAAGCGATCGCTGATAGGGAAAATAACAAATGAAAATAGAAATTTTTGTTGTAACCTACAACTCTTCGTGAGAAAAATATTTTTAGAACCGTTACGTCAATACTCAGGTACCCTTCTATTTTCTAATTTCTCGATATACTTAATCAAATCGCGACGATACGAGAGGTTAATTAATTTTATTGATTACATTATTGCTGCAAACGAAACCTATTTTCACTAGAAGTAAAATAGAATACTAGTACAATCGGTAGGACTAAACGACAGTCTTCTATTATGTCATCAGTCGAACAAAGCTGTGTTAGGAGCAGTCGCAAATAGGGGTGCAATAAATTTCGCTGAACCAAGGGGTGGCTGGTAGTGCAAAAGAGGGTTGCCATAGCCGGTGGAAAGCGTTTTTCGTGAAATCACACGGACTGGTGCACCATGCAGGTCTCTGAAAGTGGCACGTGACCTCACGAGCGTGGGACTAGTGCATCATCGTTAAGGTTTACCGTGAGAGGGAGGAGACCGATAATATTGGCACGAGGCATATTGCACAGATCTGCCCCTTTCCCCTTGATGTTTCCACTCTGATGGCGACGGGAGGGGTGGCGGTGAGTTTTCACCCGAGACCGGTCCACAAGTATTATCGAGTCGCGTTTTACCAGCATCCAGCATGGGAAAGATCGAAGGGTCAAATGCTTGTGAATATTTTTCAAAAACACTCGTCCATCATCGTGGCATGTGACGTTTAGAGAAACAAACTGTGATTGATTTGAAAATTACTATATCACTTTTTTGAAATTCTGCTCCATATTTAACCCTTTACTGAAGGGTGGAGTCCGACGTACCCCAATTATTCGATTCATCCAGCTAATTATTTATAACT